GAAACATTGTCTTCGTTTTCGGACTAGCAGGCCGAGTTTCTGTTTGTATCCATTATTGTCGCGAAATGTATTATTTTTCCCCGCACTAGCAATGGCCGCTCGCGCAAAAAAAAAATTTCTGGCGAAGTCGGATTTGCTGATGCTATCAGCGTGCACTATCGGGATTTTGAGCACGCTTACGTATAATGAATTTGATTGCGCGACTCTGCTAGCTATGTTCTAACATTGAATAGAATTTTAATGTAAATTAGTTTAAGGTGAATAATTCAATGATGCAGAATGCGAAGCCCAAAATGTGCCATAATTGTAGCATTATTAACCAAAGATAGAAGAGTGAAGGAGGTACTCTGTTCAATTGAATGAGGTAATAATTTTATAATAATATATTGTAAATACAACATATAGTTTTGCATGTTGAATATTATTCTTGTTATCCCTTTACTTTAGGACCCACCCTTCACAGTAGAGGTACCTCTTGGTACTATTTATAGAGTAGAAAAGATTGGTGGGACCACCAGTAGAGGAGAAAATGCCTATGGTTTGGAACTATACTGCAAGGTACTGTCCCCTAAATGTCAAGAAACTTACTGTAGATAATATTAAAGCTTTGTACTTCAAGGAAAATGCAGCCTGGTGGGCTGATGTTTTAAGTTTTTCATTTGAACCCACTTAGATCTTCACCAAACTTATTTTTGTTCTGGTTTATGCTTACTGATATGTCTAGTGTTTTGGCAAACTATTGTTATTTTTAATTTGGGAAATTTTATCTACTAGAGGCTTTTCTCTTTTCAATGTGACTGGGAAAAAGTTCATTTCAATATTTTATTGCTAATTTATTTATAACTATTACTAGAATTGTTTGTCAGGTTTCCCCTGCAGCACTATTTGCCGTCAGAAAAAGATTGGCTTTCAGTTGATTTTTGTGTAAAATTAATGTCTGGCCAGCAATTCAAAAATGAGTGTACAGTAGTGTCCCCCATGAATCACAATCAGTGCATCAAGATTTGTTATTCTTTTTTATTTGAAGGTTAGGGGAAACTTGAAATACAGGGTCACACCCACCCTCCCTCACCCCTGTTGAACATTCAGTCTTGATCATCAATTTTGACTCTAAAAATAGGGTACCGGTATTAATTCGATTTATATAATTATTGATTCATTCCCAGGACATGAGAAATCTTCGATTTGCACACAAACAAGAGAATCACTCCAGACGACTAGTCTATGACAAGCTTATGGTATTTATCTTGAGTCTCTGTCGTGATTAAAACACCGATGAATGTTGTTGCAGTTTTGGTAAATTCAAGATGGTCTTTGCCAACAAGGGCTGACATTTTGTCTAATGGATTTTTTAATGAACACATTTATTTATGATTGAGCTCCTGGCAAATGTCACTCAAGATGATTTCCTACCTGATTGAGCTGTATAAATATATTCATTTAAGCTGTAGAACCTAAACAAGGGAAATGAAAATCTAACAAGCTTAAAATTATATTGTACACATAATCTATTTTTTCTCGATTTTGGCAACTCTTCATTTTCCTTGATTTATCCACTTTGTGTGGTGTATATGTTGTAGTTCAATTTTAGACTTGGTTCAAATTTTATTTTCCTAAATGTTCTTGGTCATGTTAATGTATGATAATGAGTTTGAAACAAAGGAAAATAAAATTTGAACCAAGGATAAAATTGAACTACAACATATACAACCAGTACAAAACTGTGTACCATGGTGAAATGAGTTATGACCTCGTACTGTTGACCAGTTGAAAACTGTGTCCCAGAGAGGTGCGTGATTTGCGACCTCCTACGTCATGTGAAAGTCAATTGAGACCATGCATGCATCCAAGTCACATGAGCAACATAAGGTTTACCAAAAACACTTAATATTGCTAGGGTTAGGTTAGTTTTTTCCTTTCAATTGATAATTCAGAAAAATCTCAGAGATATCTAACATTAGAGAATTTGTGAAAAAAAAAAACCATTAATCCTTCATAAATTCCATATATTATAAAAAAAATCACAGATTGAAACTGTAATTAATGTAATGTATCTGTTTGTCACATTGAAATGCTGACTAGAATGCAGTCAATGTTCCTGATGGAAACTTTTTTTCCCATGGAAAAAAATTTCCACCAAATCAAGGAATTCAAAATTATCAGTTTATCATACTTGTACAATTCAGGTAAATTTCAATAAAGGTTGAATGAAGTTTATCAAATGAATGAAGGAGTAAGTTTCTCAAGAAACTAGTGCTGCATCGGCGGGGGTATTACAAGATCATGTGGTTTTATCAACTGAATTCAGTCATTATAGAGACATTTGGAGTATTGGCCTTGTGTTAGAGGGAATGACAAAGGGCATTTCAGCACTAATGAACATTTCAGCACTAAAGGACATTTCAGCACTAATGCTTGAAATGTCACTCAGCTTCAGGAACTCTATAGTTTCCATTTTACATTTTATCAACTCAATTGATTAAACCAAATTATCTTGAAGGTTTTCAACAGTGGGCTGTACATTAATAAATAAATAATACTGACACGTGGGTGGGATGGGATTCTTTACCTTAACCATTATAACCTCTAAATGTTTTATTTTCATCTTCATCTAGATTTATGCATTTCCTGCAACAAGTTCAAAGGTGTGGATAAATTCTGATTTTTATTGTTATTAATATTAGCTGTTACTAGTGAATATTGCATTCTACTTTCTTTCAATGGTAGTATGCATGCATTAGTAAAAGGGATCTTTTTTGTCATTAAAGAAAATCTCAATATTCGGTCACTCTTTTACTGTCTCGAACATGTCAGGTGGTGGACACATAAGGTTTACTGAATGTGTGTTGTGATCACCTGCTGTTTTTAGTGGCTGTTTTGTTTCAATTTTTTTTTTGGCATGCTTGGTGAGTGAGAACTGTTGATCATTGTCATGAAATATGACATGGTCAAGAGCTTGAGCCTAAGAAAAGTAACTTGTTTTTGATGAGATGATAACTATGCCTCAAATGTCTCATTCTGTCAAATTACCCAACATTCCTTGCTTTATTTTTTGAGAATACACTATTTCAACATGTAGAATCTTAGATGATATCATGCCACCAGCAAGAACATGACCTTTAATATTATGCTTTATTACATCGCATGCAGTGCCCGTGGGCAAGATGAAGCGAATCCTGTGTTCTGATTGGCCACCTGAGTGGGCAAGGTGGGCCCATCTTGCCCACTTGGGATTGCCTGGATTGATCCCACACATGAAAAAAATAGAATAACAACTATGTTCGTAACTTTTGGACACTTTCAGTGATGGAAACACAAAAAGCGGCAGAAGATAGTCAAAACAGAGAAAACAGAAAGGACTCTTGTGAGTTTGTTGTGCTACAAACACAGTTAGCCTCCTTTCTGGGCTCTCGAAGAAAACAAGTCATTATTAATTCTTAATAAAGCGAAATCTTTTTGCAATATAATAAATCCTTTATTATCTAAGCTTGTTTGGTCAAGATGACTTGATATTAGCCTCGTTCTTTTTTGGTATTTTTATGGACCTCAACTTAGTCTCGGTCTATAAAAATGCAAAAAAAGAACTCGGCCAATATCCAGCCATCTTGACCTCTCCCTTGGTTAATAACATATATATACTGTAAAGCTCACCACAGGTTACCTTATAAGGTCAAACTGTTCCTCAAAGCTTAGAATGATATGACAAACACTTGTGTGAGGCTTGCATACATTACCCTTCATATCCCATAATGGGGATATAAGTTTCACTTCTTTATTTATGTCTATTCATTGGGGATATCTTTGGTTTGCAGCCTTTCTTTGCCTTTACTTACAAAGAAAGATTTGATAACAATGGCTGGGATATCTATGATCCAGAAAAAGAGTTTCAAAGACAGGTAGATCTGAAATAAAAACTTGATATAGGCATTACTAAAAGCAATTAGGTATGTACAGTACACTGTGCAGAAACAAGCACTAACTACTTGTGTCTCTCTTTATATCACATTATTTTATATCTAGAAGCTTCACATACAGTACATGTATGTCCACAGTTGTATTTTCTCGATATTTGTCATTATTATCCAACAGTTACTGTGCTTTGCAGAGTACAAGTAACATGTGAAACAAGTACAAATATATATATCTTATTAGACGTTTTGTTGTGTAGTATTGCTGAGTATTTTTACGAGTTGTGCTGTATTTTGATGAGCCCATAGGGTGGGTCAAAATACAAATAACAAGCAAAAATACTCAGCAATACTACACAACAAAATTTCTAATAAGTTATTTATTATTAAACATGCCAAACTGTCATTTCAGTGCGGGCGAATTTCGCGGATGTTTATTTACAGAGAGTGCGTGACAGAAGTATGCGAAGCGGATTGGAATTGGCACATTGTCATGTTGCTGTTTCTATTTTCTTCAATAAATGAAGAAATTTCCTGGTCATGTAGCTGTTTTTGTTCATTAAATTCATCTAATAAACTTAGATTTACATTTGCCAGCCATTCCTGCTCTTCGTCGCCAGAAATATAATTCAAATTGTCTGCCATTTTTTTTTCCTAACTACAATCCAATTCTCGCGATGCAAGAAAACCTGTTTAACCGGTACTCTAGAGTACAAATAATGTGTGATGTTTGTACTCGTCTATGGTGTTATTTGTACTCTACGAAGTGTAGTTGGATAGTAATGTGCAATACTTGTACTCCAGAAATATCCGTGAATTTTGCCCGCACTGAACTAACAATTAGGCGTGTTGGATAATAAATCTCTTATTAGACATTTTGTTGTATAGTGTCGCTGAGTATTTTTACTCTTGTTTGTATTTTGACTTGCCCTATGGGCTTGTGAAAAGACAGTGCAACTTGCAAAAATACTCAGTGATGCTACACAACAAAATGTCTAATAAGATATATTACTTGTTATTATTCATTTTTATGTAACATGAACTCTACATGATATTATGTTTTCTTATGTATATGACAACGATCCTTCGCAGTAAAGCACTATTTGAGCAATAGTGAAAATCAGACCTGAAAAAAATTTCAGGCCTGTACGGGATTCGAACCACTGACCTCTGCGATACTA